TCAGGGTTTAGGTTTTAGGGGCTCAGTAGCTGCGGAAAGGACAGGGTTATACAGCAGCTGTGCTGCGGTGGCGTGCATGCTCAAGTTTCGAAGCTCTGTGGTAATTGGCTGTATTCCTAAGTTCAACGCGATAATCGCTGCAAGTACTAAAAGGCACTTCCGATTCACGTGAATACTAGAAGACGCTACGCTACGCTGGAGTGAGCGAGTCACTGCTTGCTGATAAACGTGGTTGAAGATGTGCAGGATGTTATCAGGAACTGTTCGTCGCTTCGACTGGGCAATGAGGTATTGACCAGGTAATGTATCATACAGAAAGCAACACGCCGCCACCAAGGACAATATGTCACCCATAAAAACCCAACAGCCCCAAGTCCTGAATTGCACTGAGCGCTCCCTGCATACCCTGCTTCCCCTCCATTTTTCTTCTACGCTTGCCAGGCATCCGGGTCGCCTGGGCCGCCGGACACATGGGGAGCGCAGCGCATGACCAAGCCGCTGGACCCGGGCACCAGGTTTCAAAACTTCGTTTTATTTTAGGGTTTTCCATTTGACTTGACTTGAGGGATTGAACTGAACTCTCACAAGTGCCATGCAGGGCCTTGGGCGGAATAGCCCGGCTGGGTTACCAGCTATGGAAAATGCTGGACAGCCTGGTGCCCGACCTAAGCAGAATTCGAGAAACGCAGGGGGAGGCACCGGCAAGTGCTTGACTAGCGTTACGAACAGTATGCCTACGCTTGCCACCAATGGTATGGCGAAGAATACGACTATCGCTGCAGCTACGCAATGCAGATATCGTCGGTCACTAAGATTTTTGAAGTAAAGATGGACAGGGTTTCCAAACCCCAACACACTGTCTGCTTCGTCCCGATGGCAGCGGTAAGCCCGTTCAGCCCTGGAGTCCTTTAGCTGGCATAGCTGCCAGTCCCACATGTTGCCACCCTCAGTGCCCAAACCGCAAATGCTCGCAAGAAGCTCTACATTCCAAAACATCCACATGGAAGACCGAAGCTCCTTCCAAGCTCCAGGGCCTACACTTTCAGGCCTTTCAATATCAAGATCGTATATGGGCCTGAACGACCATGTCTTCAGGGCTAGTCTCGACGACGGACGAGCCCTCGACTCGCGCGAAGGACCGCGACTTCTGAGCGATGTTGGCAGTGTCTGCTTCACCTGGCGGAAAGCTGTCTTGCTTTCAGCTTGCGAACACTTTGTCTCCCCAGCAATGTTAAAGTTAAAGTATCACCCAGAAATACCCAAACTCCTGCGACCCGTCACCCCCCAAAGACACCAGAGACGGAGGGAGAGACGGAGAGAGAGAGAGACAAAAAACGAAAGAGCGAGAGCAGCGCCGAAAGCGTTGCAAGAGCATGGCTGTGTGACCTGATGCGATCTTCTGTGTTTGGGCCGTGAGCACAGGATGCACCTGCACCAATCACTACCCATAGGCCCCATAGTA